TTTGATGTTATGTTGTCGTTCCCGTTAGTGCTCAGTTATTCAGCCAGCCACTCAGTCTTTCAGTCAGCTAGTCAGTTCTACCGTTCCTGCTTGTTCATTCACCCGCTCCAATAAATCCTCATCATTTCTGCACCGTGAGTCCTGCGTTTGGGTCATCTCTTCCACGCCTCCACACACAACCCCTGACATATACCAGCTAGTCCAACTTCAGTAACCCTATAAACTTCACTGCTGTTTAGTTTTCTGTCTTCATTTATGTTGGAAGTGATAGCAGAGCTGTACGTTTGAATTCTTTCAGAAATCTCTCAGTCAGAACATGCTATATCATGTTTAGGTGGAAACTAGCGAGCTAACTTCCTGCTAACTTCTAACTCTGTTACATTTAATAAATCCAGTTTTCATGGATGCCTGGATGTTAAACTTCATTGTTTCACCTGGTAAAGCAGCAACGCTGATCATTTTATTATGAAAGAATTTAGACAGTTTTTAACTCTCAGTGATGCCGCAGTGTTCATTTGACTTTGGGACCTGAAGGGATGGAGTTTAGCACCCAGATTACTCTGCGAGGCTCCTGACTACGGTAGCCGTAATGCTCCAACAATCCATCAGGCGGTGCGGCTTCGTAGCTTACCAAAGTCGTACTAAAACATTTTTGACAGATTTCTGCGCGCCGTGTAGCACATGTACCACATGTACCACATAAAATCGGTTCAAGGTCAGTAAGCACAACTAGTTAAGTTATAAATTCATCATCAAACAATCCACTGTGAAGTCAGCATCAAGCAGTGATGAACTCATCCTGATGTTTCTAAACATGAAAAGGAAGAAACTGACATTCTGGCTTCATCTAATTCTCTATCTACTGGGAAAAAAAATCAAGCTTGATCTAAGGAAGAAAATGCAGTAAATTTGTCCTGCAAACTTAATTCAGTGTAGACACCGGGATTGGGCCCATGGGCTTGTTACGTTACTTCACACTAAAGCAACTAGCTTGTCACAATGTCACTCTAAGCCAGTGGTTCCCAAACTTTTTTTGCTAGGCCCCCCTTTGTTTTACAAGAATAATGTTCGCGCCCCCCGCGCACAAACACATCCTCCAACCACACACACACCTATTTTGCTCCATTGTGGTTTATTTCACACCTCAAACATTTAGTAAACAATTAAGCAAATACAAGTAATCTGCAATAAATTACAGGTAGTAATAAAATAAACTACTAACTATTTTACGCTACGTTCGCACCTACACAGGCATTTTTGAAAACGCAGCTGTTTCGTCCACACGTAAACGGCGTTTCGAATCACCAAAAACTGAGATTTTTTTAAAACTCCTTTTTTGCATTTACGTGTGGACGAGGAATACAGAGTTCGACACGCAACGTCAAAGGTATGTGTACGTCACGCTGTGCGCCACGTTATTGTTTACATGAGATGAATTGCAGAATGGCAGATAGTCAGATTAACAGTATTTTGTCTCTATCTGCAGGTTTTACACGCTTACATACACACACGCAGTTACTGTCCCTCCATTTAGAAAGGCAGAGGCTCACGGTGTAATTATTTTACGTGTAGTTGTTTTTTTCCTGTGTAATAATATTCAACATTGCTATCAATACATTTTTCCAAAAATGCCTCTCTGTGCAAAATGTGTTCAAAAACATAAACAGCTGTGGGATACTGTTTGTCAGTGATTTGAACCAAGGGAACAGATCTTGGCAGGATCTGCCTGATGTTATTTGTATCCCACTGTAACTTTACTGTATAAAGAGTTAATATCTCCAAAATGTCAGGAGTAGTTAGTCATTATGACAAGTGTTTGTAAACTAAAAATCAAGAATGTGGGATACTGTTTGTCCGTGATTTGAACAGCCCAGTGCGTGCTCCCGACTAAGGGAAAACCAATTATGCAGGGGAGACCTACCTCGGCACTTGTGCAGGTGAAGCCAAAGGGAAGACATGCTTCACCATATTTTCTAGTCTTTGGCTTAAATGAAGTTGGCTTGGAAACATATTCAGCTATGCTTCATCTCCTGCTTTGCGTTTGTGTAGGCGCCCCGTGCTAGCAGTGTCCAAGCCTTTTTTTTCCCCCTCCCCCTTTTCATACAACACCCCCCCTGCAATGGCTCTGCGCCCCCCCTAGGGGGTGGGCCCCACACTTTGGGAAGGTCTGCTCTAAGCTTACTCACAAGATCGGCTGCCTTGAAGGCAAAAGGCTGTTACCCTTCTTCTAATTTTAGCTTCTGTCAGACCACAAGCACAGCTCATGTTCTCTGAGTCCAATCAAGGATCATGAGCTTGGAAGCAGTGGGCAGCCATAGACATCATAGTTACAGTATTAATTGGTTATGGTTTTAGAAGCGTGGTTGGAGACATTAGAGGCTGTCTCAGTAACACAAGCCTCTCTAATGTTTCAAACAGTCAGACAAGATGAAAAAGAAGACCTTTTCAAACAGTTCTAGACCTCAAAAAACTTCAAAGACTCAATGAAGACAACAATATGGTGAGCTGACACCAGTTCTTGAAAAGCACAAACAAACTGGAGCTTATTTATTCAGTTGTTTGCTAACACCACAGTCTTTCTAGTTTTTCTGTGGTTATGTGTGAAAAGTTACAAGAATATCAGAAACGCTCTGTCAGTGTCATCCTGAGCTTTGGTCCATTCACACTCATTTACCTTCAAAGTGGGTTGCATGTGTCCTGCCTGACATTAGATCTGCGTGGCCTCACTGCCCACTCTTTTAGTTCTATATACGCGTATTGGCCAAAACACAAAGAGTGTGCCAGTTTGCCGAGAAGCGTCCAGGAAGATGGAGAGCAACAGAGCGCAGCAGCCTGCCAAAGGCTGACCAAGAAAAGCGAAAGCACAGGAGGGATTTAGTCAAGTGCTCATTTAAATATGAGTGAGCAACAGACTGTGGAATTTGAATGAGATTATAAAGGGAGACGGGTAGGATGAATTTCAATTTGAGAGCATTACACGTATTCTCAGTGTGTCTCTTCATCCCACTACCCCCGCGCCTTACCCACCAGCCTCCCAGAGGTGAGAAAATAACTCCCAACAAAGAAGCGGGAGGGAGGAAGTTGGCAGCGCTGTCGCCAAATAGCGAAGCCCAACGGTTGTTATGGCACGGAGGCTCCTCCCCTCCCATTATCTGTGAACGTACACACAAACACGCACGCACCAGAAAACACAGGTGGGAACACATACACACGCACGCACACACACACAGACTAGGATCTAGGTTAACAGAGCATCATATCCGAGTGCATCTCTCCAGCACTGCAGTGGTACGCATTGCACCTCATCTAAAAGCTCTTTATCAAATGATAGCCTCCAATAGCAATATAGCCGTACAATATATAATTATATATACAAAGACAACATGAGCAGCAGCAGGTCGAGGGAAGGCACTGAAGTAGGGAGAAAAAGGCAGATGGAGAAAACACAGTGAGTTACAGAGAAAAAAGAGCAAGAAGGGAAAGCCGGGAGGGTGGGAGAGCAGACTGCGAGAGAGAGAGAGAGAGAGAGGGTGAGGGGGGAGGTTTATCCAGCAGCGCTGATGAGACAGAAGTTTCAGCTCTGTGCGTTGCACACGGCCAGGACAGAAGAGACCTTCCGCATACATACAGGTGAGACAGCTCACTTCTTCTTCCCCTCTGAAGCACGGCTTGTAGCCTTTGTGCATGCTGAAACGTAATGCAGACATTTAGGTGCAACAGAGAATACTAGGAACTTGGTGCTGGGAGCGCAGCCTAAGTTGTGAGTGTGCTGGCATGCATCGAGCGCGTCACTCGGGGTTCAGCAGATGTCCTGAGAGACAAACAAGACAACCAGTCCAGAATGTGCTCTGATTTTTCTGATAAGTAATTTCCCAGAGGAGCTCAAAAAGCAAAGGGCAGCGTAAGTGTTGGTGTGATGTTAATGGATGCTTTAAGTGTTGCTTGCTGTGTAAGTGCTGGGAGAAAAGAGCTATACTGCCTTCAGTGCGCATTCAGCAGTCATGCCGCATCTGAGCAGCATGTATTATTTATCTGCACTGATCTCCAGAAACAGTGACACCTCACAAAAGCAGAGGATGTAATGCATATAATGTCTATATAATGTCACATGTGGCAGCTGGGCTGATATATAATGCGCTGTGGGAATGCGAGCAGAGGGACAACCTGCAGCTTGCATATGTTTAGCTGAGCTACAGTTGCTTTGTCTTGTTTGTAACATCTTGCCACGGTGGGTTGCAGTGTGGCAAAGACAGCATGAGTGGATATCCTATGGTTTATTTATCTGCCATTATCTGCGGCAGAGATACAGGAGAGCAGAAGGAGGCTGTGAATTAGGCTGAGGAGATGAGATCTCTCTTATCTTAAGATGGGTTTTCTGCACAAAGGCGGTTGACTCCTTTTGTCTGCAGATACAATATCTTAATCCGCATCAGTGTAACATACGGCTGCTGCGGGCTACAGATTGATCCTCGTGCTCAGTGTGTGTGCAGATTACACATTTGTCAGGGACATATGCTGGTGTTATTTACAGCATCTGTGTGTGTGTGTGTGTGTGTGTGTGTGTGTGTGTGTGTGTGTGTGTGTGTGTGTGTGTGTGTGTGCCTGCATCCAGCTGCTTCTGCCTTCTTTTATTGAGGAGCTCTTGATGTCGTGAGAGCAAACAAAGAAACCTAGAGTTATGAGATATAAAAATATACACGCTGCCAGCGCAATAAATTGACAAGTAAAGAATTGCCTCAACCAAACACAGCCCGGAGGGAGGGAGCATCAAGCGGTTGAGGAAAGTTTCAAACTTGTTGCTTTGCAGTAGATTGCAGCTGTAAATGGTGTCGTTTAACCTGTTGTACGGTTTTACTATACAGGCAGAGCCTTCAGTTTTCAGGCCCCTCTTCTCTGGAACCAGCTTCCAGTTTGGATTCAGGAGACAGACACTATCTCTACTTTTAAGATTATTCATTACTAAGATTATTCTCTCACCTCAGCATGTCACAGCAGATGGCCCCGCCCCTCCCTGAGCCTGGTTCTGCCGGAGGTTTCTTCCCGTTAAAAGGGAGTTTTTCCTTCCCACTGTCGCCAAAGTGCTTGCTTATAGGGGGTCATATGATTGTTGGGTTTTTCTCTGTATTTAGTTTTGTAGGATCTACCTTCCCATATAAAGCGCCTTGAGACGACTGTTGTTGTGATTTGGTGCTATATAAATAAAATAAAATTGAATTGCTGTATTAAGTCGACCATCCTTTTGACAACATACACTCTATGCAGACGATAGATGTAGCCACATGACATTACGCACTGGTTTGTGGACTTTTTGCTTTTTGGCTGCTGCTTTATCTGTGTCATGATCCTGGGTTGGTGACCCAGCATTTTGAGTTTATTGTTATTATTTTGTAGTTTATTCTGATTTTGTATTTATTCTTTAGGCTTGATTCCAGTGTTTTATCATCCCTACCTGTGCCTTTCCTCTGTGTTCTGTTCGTGTCCCCGAGTTTGTGTTGTAAAACAGTCTGTGTATATCCTGTTTTACTTTGAAGGTTTGTGTCTTGTGAATTAGGTTCAGCTGTGCTCCCCTCCTGTGTGTCATTCCCTCATTACCATGTGTGTATTTATAGTGCGTGCCACAAAAGCATGTGTTTCGTAGGATGCTTAACAAAGAAGTAAAACCAGCAGCTTAATAAGTTCTTTGGCTTAAGCAACCAAGTTTTATTCAAGTGAGCCCTATTTTTCATAATAAATACGAGCCTGTAGCATTTAGTGACAATAGCATATGAAGATCGTAGCTTGAGGCGACTGCATTTACGTACTTCTGAGGATGATGTTTGGGGTTTTAACAGACAGACTGAGATTAAAATAGTTGCAGCTACACAACCCTAAAGCTTCTGTAAATAACATTTAATCTTCTGCATTCCTGCACCAAACAGTCAGCCTGACTTGTTCATTTGTGCTGACGACCTTGGATTGGAAAGCAACATGTTGCATGCAGCAAAGGGGGAAAGGGTTAAAAGGTGCAAACCTTTTTTTTCTTGCATATTGAACACTAACAATGTGGTTTGTATGAGTGTGTGAGAACGAAAAGGCCGGCAACCCCTCCCAAATATTCAAAAAGAAAAAGCTCAAATACTTGGAAAAACAGGGCAAAGATTTATTCAAGTTGAAGCCATGCTGTTCTCAGTCAGTCTCCTTTTTGTCATGCTTTAATTCTCATTTAGAAAGGGTTCACTCTGCTGCTCACTGTTCCAACTGTGACAGGTGCAGCTTTTCCCAAAGGAATGCCTTCTGATGGGAGCTTTAAAAAAATCCATATCAATGCATCCATTTCTCCTGACACATGAAGGGTATAGGAAAGAAAAACAGTGGTCCATCTTTTCATTGGCCACATCTACACATAGTTCAGGCGTTCAATGTTAAAAGGCACTGAAGGCATAAAGAGCCGATCACTACAGATCCAGATCCATCACGATGTTACTGAGGTGTGACCACCAGTGCACTCACTTTAAAAAGAAAACAGCAGAAATGCAGTTTACTTGTACTCGTGCTAGAGAGTTTTCTTTGTTTTCTTTGTATTACTGTGGGGTCTTTACTTTACACCTTGAGAGAACTGTTGTTGTGATTTAGCATTAGATTGATAAATTGAAGTCAATCATTTGCAGAAAAATACTGTATTTATCAAAGCCAACATAAATTATACTTTTTGTTGTCTTTTAATCATAGTTTAAAATCTCATAATCACATATAATTTAATATTAATCACACAATTACTGAGCAGTAAGCATCACCATTTTTATCCTTGGAAAATAAAAACACTTAGATGAACCAGAGATCACAAAAATAGATAATGAGATACTTTCTGTGTTTTTGTGCTTAATGGTATTTAACTAAGACACCTGAGTGATGTATGAGCAACTAATTATGTGAGCAACCTTCTCCAAGTCATCTGGGGTAGCAGTGTTTGATCTTTGAAACATCACAGCAAACACAACATTTCAGTTTGGAAATAGTTTGTGCAAATCCAAGCTCAGCCATGAGACATTGCTGTTTTTTATTTGTCATGAATTGAAGAGAACAGCTTTGGGGGACATTAAGGCCACCATCACAAAGAGACCAGCTGGCAACCTGCTGTCAGCTTGTCATAGAGAAGAATGAGGGAGGTTGCTTGGTGTCACTAGGTGAAATTAGTCACAAAGAAGTATTTGGCACTGTATTGAAAACCTCATTGTAATTGCTGTGGTTGCTAGCAGATTAGCATGGTCACGTGTAATCTATGAGAGAGTTGCCAACAAGTGCAAACACTTGTTAACGATTTGGTAAGCAGCAGTGAAAGGGGAAACAGAGACCAACCACCTGTAAAGAAAACACCTTTGAAAAGTGGTGGTTTCAACAGAAAGGCACACAGGTGAACACTCTCCATTCCTGATTTAGCTTTTTCAAATTTCACTACTTGTCTGTGGTTATTTGGCAATTTGCAGACAGCTTGTCATCTTCTATACAAACTACAGGCAATCACAGCAGTCCAAGGAGTCACGGGTCCCCTGTGTTATTGAGGCTTACCAGGCTATAGTTTGACATTACGGCTGCCAGCACCTTCCAAATAAAACTGAATGTGGAATATTTGCAAGAGCCACTTCAGTCACTGATTGCCCATCTGTAAGCACCAACCAGAATACTCAAAGCAGGTGGAGATCTGTTTGTTCAGAGCTTGCCAATCTTGAAAGCACAACATGCATCCCACGCAGGAAAAAGAAAAAACTACTAAGCCAATTGCAGTGCAGTGTTGTGGAACAGTGGACACGGCAAGTGTGAATGCAAAGCATCATGTGAGAAGCACACAAGGAAAAAAGAGAGACACACTCTGATTATTTTAAACCTCACACCTTTGGATCAGTGCAAGTTACAAATAAGTCCCAAAATAAGCCCCAAGAAGAGGAAAGTGACAGTACTGCAGCAGACGATGTCTTTGAGTTGTATGGCGTCATCATCTGACAATCCCTCTGTTGCTGCACTAATCTGTCTCCAGCAACATCCTGACAATATCTCTCTCTCTCACACACACACACACACACACACACACACACAC